GGGATAGTAGAGATATGAGAAATGAGATATGAGACATAGAAAATGAGATAATAGATGTGAAAATGCTTTGGAACTCACATAGCATTTTGAGAAAGTAAAACATGATGTTTCTGTAGGCCTCAGCTTCTCCCTTACTGCCACCATGTCCTGATTCCTAATAAGTCCCTTTGGGAAGCCAGTGGGAGGCTTGTGACTCCCACTGGCTGTAGGGGAAACTTCCTCCTCTTCTTTGTTCACTTACCCTGACCATGGAGTTTGGGCTCTGATAGGAGGGATGGGACCCTGGAAACAGTGAGAAGGGACTTTGACCTTGACCATGCTCACCTTCTTGTAGGAACATGCTTGCCAACTCAGCCAGCGTGAGGATCCTCATCAAGGGAGGCAAGGTGGTGAACGATGACTGCACCCACGAGGCTGACGTCTACATCGAGAATGGCATCATCCAGCAGGTGGGCCGTGAGCTCATGATCCCTGGCGGGGCCAAGGTGATTGATGCCACAGGGAAACTGGTGATCCCTGGTGGCATCGACACCAGCACCCACTTCCACCAGACCTTCATGAATGCCACGTGCGTGGACGACTTCTACCATGGGACCAAGGTAATGCTCCTGTTTGTCAAAGGTGGCTTCCTCTTTGGCTTTTTTATTCTGCTTCTGGGGCTGCTCCAGACTAGACCCAGGTGAGCCAGGTGCTCCCAGTGTATTGCTGGCAGGAGAAGGATGTGTCAGGGCCACTATGGCAACTACAATAGGGATTTCCAGCTTAATGTCACAGGTTTCCATGATTACAGAAAAGGAGGCATTTAGGCCTGTTTTGCTAATCATATCATTTACCCAAGTACCCAGGCTGAGAACCAATTTTATTTTTATATTTTTATGTCATGTAATACAAGCCTAGAGGAAGAAGAGAATAAGAAGTGGGTTGGTCTGATGCACTTCTTTATGTTTATAAACTGAATTAAATTCCCAAAGACTGAAAGACAAATTTGCTTCTTCTAGATGATGATACAGCTTCTATTACCTCTCCTGGCTTGCTTGTTATTTTTTTAAATAACTGGAAAATTGCTGGTGGTGGGTTCTCTTTTCAGAGTGAGTTACCATGGACAATATTTAACCTTTACTGAGCTGAACCTGAGCTACTGTAAGTTCCTGAATGCCAAAAACAAAAATTCAGAAGAAAAATTAGGAGGAAACTACATTCTGCAAAAAGAGTCATGAATGGGCTTTTTTTTTTTTACCCTTCCCGTATGTTCCAGACACCTCTGTCACTGCTGTCATCCCTCTTCCTTGTGATTTTCTATCTCATGCTGGCCTCTCCCCGGATATCAGACTATGGGCTCCTTGAGGGCAAGGCCTGGCCATTTTCCTCTGCTTTCCCAGAAGCTGGACTGACCTGGAACTAGAGTAGCTGTCCTGTAAGTGTGCAGGCAGAGGCCAGGCCTGGGGACACAGCTTGATGGACCAGCCCCACCTCAAGTAGATGGCCTTTAAGGTCTCCTTGAGGACAGGCCCCCTTCCCAATCCAGGGGCTGCAGACCAGACCCTGGGAAGGCTGAGCTATGAGGAGTCACAGTAGTCATTGCCCGGCTCTGCCCACACAAGGATGCTCCCTGGCCTAACCCTCTGGCATCAGGGTTACACCTGCTCGCTCTAGCCCAGTCCAGGGAAGAGAGGTAGTAGGCCGACCCTCCTTGCTTTCTCCTCTGAGAATTCCCCCAGGCCCTGAAAGTGGTATTTCGATTATGAAATGGGGAGCCCCATCCTCATAAACTCAGGATCCTCTTGCAGGGTGCCTGGTGACAGTCGGGACCTTTCTGAAGTGACTGAGCATATCCAGCTCACCACCCTCATGCACCAAGCCAGGCCAGGCCTGCGGTTATTGTTGTCATTTTCACTGAAGTATAGCATATATACAGAGAAGTGCAGAAATTGTAAGTACACAGAATTGCCACCGTTGAATGCACTTGTAACCAGCTCCCAAGTCAAGACACCAAACTTTACCAGCACCCAGAAGCTCCTCCAGTCACAGCTCCCCACTAGGGATAACCACTATCCTGACTTCTAATAGACTTTTTAAAATAACAGCTTAATCGAGATGTAATTCACATATACAATTCATGTATTTAAAGTGTGTGAGTCAGTGGTTTTGGTATATTTATCACAGCTTGGTTTTGTCTATGTAGATGAAATGAAGCAGTATGTACCTTCATATTGGCTTCTTTTGCTCAAAAATTAATAAATTCATTCACTTTCATTGCTTAATACTATTCCACTGTGTAATACAGCACATAGCAATTATCTCTCTGTCAGTGGTCATTTAGGTCATTGCTTGTTTGAAGCTAAACATTGTCACTATGAACATGTTCTTGTACATATCTTCAGCAAACATGTCTGTACACATTTTGTTGGGCACATACTCCTAGGAATGGAATTGCAGGGCCCATAGGGTGCACTTACGTTCAGCTTTAATAAGTAATGCCAAATAGTTTTCCAGACTGGTTGTAACAATTTATGCTCCCAGCAGTAGTGTAAGAGAGGCATTTAACATTGACATCACCAGTCCATGCTGGGGCCCATTCTGTAGTATGCTCAGGCCTTGCACTAAAACTGCACCTTCCTAGTTACTGTCCCTGTTTTGAGGAGTCCTTTAGGCCAGCATCAGATGCCACGCTGTCACTATGCTGTCTACCAGCCTCGCGGAGGGCAGACTGGCCTCCTTTGTCTCATTTTCCACATTGTCATCTGCTAGGGCCTCATTAGCCAAGAGTGACTGGTTTTCCCCTGAGAGCCATCAGCTCTTTACAGCTGATGAAGAGCTCTGCACACATGTCTTTATGCAAGGTGGTGGGTAACTCTTGATCTTTTCTGCTTCTCATTCACACAAGTAGCTGCCTCCAAAAAACATCTAAAGGCCCCTGGTGATGAAAGGCCCCAGATCTCCCATTTCTGCAGGTTTAGGCTGCCTCAGGAGCCCCAGTCCATGTCAGGCCCTATTGTAGGGAATTTAAGAGACCGCAGACCCCAAGCCACCCTGGCAGCTGGTGTCACTTAAACTGACACTTCGTTATATCCGTGCGCCAAGCAAGATCGTAATTGTCCTTGTGTCCCAGCCCTCACATTAAGCCTCTGTGTGGTGGCCTCGTTCTGCCTGGACTCCATTAGTAGATCCTGCCCAGAGTCCTGAAATTCCTGCCGCAACCCCTCCACTCCACACCAGGATTTCCCCTTTACGTTGTGGCTCCTGCAGCCGAATGGTGTGGCTTCCCAGTTTCTCCTGTTCCTGAAAATCTCCCGGGGAGAGAAAATGCTCTCCTACTGAAACGCTGATGGGGACGGGTGGATTTAATTATTCACACCGCCTGTGGCACCCGTGCAGAGGCTGTGCACCCTGATGGACCGCCGCTGACCTACTTAGCATGCTCTAAGAAAGGTTGATTCACTTTAAGCATCTGGGTTTATAATAGAGCAGTAATCCCAAGGAAAATCTCACCCGAACGATTAGCCAAGAAAGAAGGAGAGATCAAGTTGCATCTTTTTGTTCTTGTCAGACAGATCGCGGGGCCCTGAACCCTGCAAACAACACCCCACCCCCGCCCCGCCCCACCCCAGCTAGCGTCTGCTTGTTGATTTGGCAGCAGCAGCAGCCGGGACTAGGAAAACAAAACAGTTGAAAGCCTGGCCTTTCCGAGAACATCTGGGCCTCCATTGTACTTGGTCTCCAGGGATTTCTCTCCAGTACTTCTTTAGCCCACGCCTCGCTGGCCCCAGCCTCTGAAAGAGGCTGTGGCAGGCTCTGCCTGGCTCCCCTACTCACAGCCTGGTCACTTGACCCTCCTCCCTGCCCCAGGCAGCACCTCCCCAACACCCTACCACCTGCAGGCCCCGCCCTCCCCAGGCCCAGAACTAGGGTTTCCGGATGCTGCCAGGACCACCTGCTGGGTAACAATACAGACCTCATTCCAAAAAGGAGGTTATCTCTGTGAGGTGGCAGGGGGAGAGGGAGTGAAGAGGGAGAGCCAGTGACACCAACTGCGCTCAGAAGGGCCAGAATTTTAGTCTGGTTGCGGGTTCTCGTATTATTATTCTGCTTAAGTAGATGTTGCATTTAGTCTCTTTCATACGTATCTAGTATTACAGAGTAAAGAATGTTCTTACAGGCTCTTGAGCTCCACCCACCAATGGCTCTCCAGGATCAGGTGAAAATATCAGAATCAGATTTTTAAAACTACAGTCATTCACAAGCAAACCAGGTATGTGGCAAAATAAAAATAAATATAGGTACCAGCCCCTCACTAAGATATTGATAGAGAGGACAGACACGTGCAACTGAACAAGCTTCCTATGTACCTTTTCTGCCTTCCTCTCCCCACAAAAATATTTTAAGAACTGCTGTGTAGGCCAGTGATTTTCACCCTTTTGAAGCAAATTACATCAGAACTGTCAGAGCAGCTCCATCTTAAACAGGGGCTGGGTAAAATGAGGCTAAGACCTACTGGGCTGCATTCCCAGATGGTTCAGGCATTCTAAGTCACAAGATACAGGTCATAAAGACCTTGCTGATAAAATAGCTTGCAGTAAGGAAGCCGCCACGTCCCACCCAAACCAAGAGGGCCACAAGAAGTGACCTCTTGTCGTCCTCACTGCTACACTCCCACCAGTGCCATGACAGTTAACAAATGCCATGGCAACATCAGGAGGTTACCCTAGATGGTCTAAAAAAGGGAGGCACGAATAATCCACCCCTTGTTTAGCATATCATCAAGAAATGACCATAAAAATGGGCAACCAGCAGCCCTGGAGCTTCTCTGTCTATGGAGTAGCCATTCTTTTATTCCTCTACTTTCTTTTTTTTTTTTTT